CCCTTGGATATGAAGTTAACCTGCGAGCCACTATCTAGTATGGCATGGCATTTCCTACGCACACCTTGATGGTCCCTTACTATAACTACTGCAGTTGACAAAAATACGTGTCCATGTCCTTGATGAACTAGTAATACCCTTTTTGAGCCAGTTTGGTTTGAAGACGAAGCTACACCTTCTTCAGGCGTGTCCTCGTCACTCACAGATTTCGAAGGTTCCCTTTTTCTTTCGTAATGAAGTAAAGTATTGTGCTTCCCTTTGCAGACAAAGCAATTATATTTTGATCTGCATTTGTCAGCTACATGTGCTGGATGAAGACAGTTGAAACATAGCTTAGTTTCACGTACAAAGTTAATTCGATCTCCGACTGAAAGGTTCTTAAAACTGCTACATGTATACAACCTATGCATGCTTGTGCAGTATGCGCATTTTTCTTTTACTTCGGATGCTGCTAAAAGAGCACCTCTTGAGTGAGCTCCGAACTTCTTACTACTAGCTGATTGGGTGAGTTGAGCTTCCTTCAATTGATTTTGTTTTGGATACCTTGTGCCCGAATTATTTTGAATAACCTTAGATCCCTTTTGATTTAAACCTACTGCCTCTGAACCTTCTAACGCCACACACCGGCTAGCCAGAAACGATTCGAGGTCCGAGTACTTGGGTAAATTAGTGTTTCTCAGATGTAGTTGCCATCCGTGCCCGGTGCTTCTGTCAAGACGTCCTGTAACTATAGTGATTAACCACGCATCCCAGTGTTCGATTGGTTGGTCAAGCGCGCTCAGTGCAGCAACATGAGTGCTTACATGTGAATAAAGTTCTTGCAGCGCTGATGCTGATGGTTCTTCGATCCTTGGACATTCAAGAAGCGATCGTATGTGCGACTGAATTACAAGACTAGGGTTGTCGTATCGTTGCTTGAGCCTTTCAACAACTACTGAATAGTTGCCGTCGTTGATAGGAATAGAACGCACCAAGTCTAATGCTTGCCCTTGTAAACACGAACGCAAATAATAAAACTTCTGAGCATCTGAATATTCATTTCCTTCATGTACTATAGCACGGAAAATATCGAAGAATGAAGACCATTCTTGTATGTTGCCATCGAACGATGGCAGTGGTATTGGTGGCAGCTGATTCCGATGTCCTGAACTGCTGGATATGTGCGAAGCATTGTGAACAGAAGTGTTTGATGCCTTATCTGCCTTGATAATTTCTTGCATCTGTGATCTTATCATAAAATAAAGTTCTTCAAAATTATTCCTCTCCGTTTCAGCTTCTACAGTATCTTCAATAGCAATCAACTCGATCTGGGACTGAATGTCATCAAACTTCCTGTTTATTTGTGGCAGCTCCTCCTGCCTGAACTCGAGTAATGAGACTGCTTGCTCACCGATAACGAAATTTGAAACAAAGGTTTGGGCACGTGTGAGGGCTGCTTTGACAACACCTCGTTTCCTTCTTAGCTCTGCTAACAATTTTAATTCCTCTTCGCTGTACATCGTTTAGTCCTTACAAGAAATATTGGCACAAATCAAGGATCACAAATCAAGGTCGAATTTGTCCGATACAACGAGGCAAAATTGATTATAGACAAAAAGGAATGAAAGTGAAAAGTTGAAATTTCAATTGCAATACAAATTAATTAAATATTATAATTAAATAACAATAACGAAGATGGCAATATTAGCTTAATTTTAAATTCTCAATCGGACTATTATCAACTGACGTAGACAGATATTAATCACAAAATGAAAATGTAAGCAATAATATCAATACGACGGAAGATAATAAGAAATAATTAATTCTAAAATGAATTAATATAACAATATCCGTAATCTAAGAAAATAATATTATAAATCACGTCGAGGTCACCAAATGATTGGGCCGGGAACGTACAAAAATAGTCCGTGGTGCCCGGTCACCAGATACTTCGTACGCTCACTCACACACCGACCGACCTGTGTATGTGTGTATACATGTAATAGCAATTCGATCGAAGTGGACGGGTTCGCCGAGCAAAACTATCGAATGCTAGTGTGTGGTGGGTGTGTAAATGTGTATATATGTGGGTGTGTATACAATAAAACAATAAAAATAAAATGGTAACACGGTTTTTGGTAAAGAGTTGCTGTTGCTGTATAATACACAATAATAATGACACAAATATAAAAAATCACAGCAACACAAATGTATAAAATATAATATAATAAATAAATCAAAGCCCTTATGGCTCGACAGTATAATATTAAAATATAAATTAGCCCTCCTGGCCCAACAAAGGAAAATATGAAATAATATTATATTATATTATGGGCAGCTATTTAAGCTGTACACTTGTATAATGGTATAATGGTAATGATAATAATTTAATTGATTATAATATTAATACACAGCCCTTATGGCACGACAAAATAATAATTATACGGCCCTTCTGGCACGACAAATAATAATATAAAATATAAAAATAATATGCGGCCCTTTTGGCACGATAGTATAATGATAAGATAATATCTGTGGCCCTTATGGCTCACAAGATTTAAATGTATAATAAATAAATAATAACAAGAAAAAACTCACAATTTGTGGACGCAGACTGGCCAGCTGGTCCTATGCTATAAAAATATAAAATAAATACACGACAATAATATAATAAGTTAGGTAACAATAGTATATAAATATCTGCGGCCTTTATGGCTTACAATAATAAATAATAGCAAAAATAATGCCTTTGGCGATTAGCACCAAAAAAAACAATAATAATAAATTAAAAACACCGGCGATTCGCGCACGGCAAAAAGAATATAATATAAAAAACAACACTTTTAATATTTGACTCGACTTTACAATTATTGTAGTATTATTTACACGCACAAGTGAATATTGCTGCGGCAACGTTCGGTACAAGACAAAAAGGCACGGCGGCCGTGTTAAATAATATTTGCGTAGACGGCGGCGGCTAATCTACATATTATATAATAATTCACAAGACAAGATAATTTATACAAAAATAACGAAGATCATAATAATATGTGACTGTGCGTGTGTGTGATTCGGTCGGTGGAGGAGTGGTGGTACGAGGTAATATAATAATAATAATATTTATTCGTTGGCTTGGACATACTATGAAATGTATAATGCGAAATATATTAGAACGTGTTCATACACACCTAATAATAAAATTCCACGTTCATGAACTTAGGGGCACTCATGTAACATAATTCGATTAAACCTATTCAACAATTTTGTTGAACGTTTGTTGGACATTGTTTAACAGTTTTTATAATTTGTCGAATGGTCCTTCAAAATGTATGAGCAATTTTTCAAAAACACCGCTAAGCTTACAACAGCGGCCAACATCAGTGGCGCAACTACGAGGGTGCTGCCAACTCTAATTTAAGAACTCCCAAGTCCAATGTCTTTACAATTTAAAATATATATAGTTTTAAGTTTTAACAATTTTATTTTATTTTATTTTCATTAGTCAAATAACAAAATGTCAATTTGTAATTTTAGTTATGGTTTTAAGAGATGTTTTAGGAATTATAAACATCTTAAGTACAACTCTACAATCAAAGACAGCTACATCAGTTAAGGCCGAAATGATTATTAATAATGTTATTAAGTCATTTAAAAATATGAGAACAGATAAGTCATTCTCAGAATTATGGTTAAGGTTATATATATATAATAAAACACTTAAAAAAACTATTCAAAACTGCTCACAAAGGTTTGTTGGGCGTTGTTGAAACTCAATTTATCTATTTATTTTTAAACAAATTACTTTAACAGTGTTAATGACTGACAGGAAAAAAGACATATTATAAAAACAAGACATTCATTGCTATGTCTCAAGATCATAAGCAGCAAATTGTTAATGAATAGAATATTTATAATTAATTGTAACTTATAAAATCTAAACCTAACAGTCTGATTTAGCTGAGAGGGATGATTAAAAATTAAAAACAATTTATAAAAATGGATTTGCTGTTTTCGAAACTAAAATGGTTTAAAGCTGTTGTGGACATATAGATTATATTTATTGTTAAACACACATTTTTACACAATATATGGAGTTCTTCGACAAATGGAAATTAATAATATTCAGTTTTTATGTATATTATATTAGTTTTACTAAACAAACAACTTAATTGTGATCATTATTTATTTTGTATTTACAGAAGAGTTTAGGAACAGATATGGTATAAAAGAGATTGGAATTAGGTAGTACTTTATTTTATTGTTTAACGTCCACATAACGTTCATTGTTCTTATAATTTTTATATTTTTCTGGAATTTTGTGACTTAAATAATGTTTTCTTTTATGCAAAACTTAATAATGATTACAAATATAGTTCTTTTAATTTGGGTTATGCGAGCGAATGGGGGACTTAAGTTGGATGACGGAGCAAGTACTTCTCAGGATCGACCTGTTACTTTCGAAGACTTAAGAAGTAAGTATTCATTCAATAATAAAGAATCATTATATTTGTAATAAGTATTTGTAAAATATTGTAGAATTATTTTATAACTTCAGCCAACTATAACAATTTTTTTTTAAGTTCCTATGAACGTTGAAAAACAAAAAATATATAATATCAATTATCATATTTTAATTGTATTTACTAATATGAATTATGATATATTAAAATGTTATATATCAAAATATTTCTCGTAAAATCAATTTTTTTAATTTTTAAGAAGTAATAAATTTATCAGCAAACAAATATTCAAAAACTATTTTCAGTTTTTAAGACTTAAGTACCTATATTAATAAAATATTATAGATGTTACATTTCTCACAGTTTGTTTGACATTTTGCAACAATTTTATTTTACTTTCGCCAAGCAGCAAAATAATTAATTTTTTCAACAAATAGGTACTGTAATAGTTTTTCCTTTATTGGTTTAGTATGTAATAATGAATACAGTTGTTAAAAATTTGAATGATGTATACCAAATAATTGGATAAATTGTTCATTTTTTTTTTAAAGTCTATTATTGAGTAAAAATTATTATTAGGTAATGTGTAGTAAATAAACGAGGGAGGCTAATGGAAACGTATTTTTTTCAGAAGCCTGTTCAAGTAATATTTTTTATTACATTTTAGTTATCAAATTGTAACATACAATATTTATAATATTTATAATATGAAGTATTAAAAGAAAAAATGGTAATTATAGTAAATATAATTATTAATTGTAAATTACGGTTGAGAAATTACCAATCTGACCATTTCATGAAAATAATGAATTGCGAATAAATATTTGATTAACATTGATTTCCATACTAAAGTTGACTTTCTAATTGACATATTATATTTTTTTAATAAATCTATGTGGAATGTATCCACAAATATGTACTTACGTAATGTTTACATGAAATAAGTTACCTAATATCAATCAATAGTTAATAATATTTATTTATCCAACATAATAATTAAAATGTAATGAGTGTAATATATTATACTCATTTTATACTTTAAAAACCTCAAGTGAATGTACCACATTGTTAGACCAATACAGAATTTTTGAAACCATCATTGAATACTTAATAAATCAAAAGTAAGCTATCTTCCATTTAAACAAGGTTAAGGGGCCCATATTTGAGTTTATCAATTTTTTGCACACATAGATTAATAATACACCAATTTAAAAATTGAATAGGTCTTTTAGGCAACTATGCTGAATTGCAAAGTAAGTTAATTCAAATTAACAGATAAGTTATTACATATTTTCAAAACTATAAATAATGAGACAAATAAAAGAAAAAATAAAATAAATTCTTCCACGGGAGACTCACAGACACACGCTTACTCATCCATACCTATACTAGACCGGTAATTTATTTTTTAATGTGTATTATTCTTCCCTTTCGTTATTTAAATTCTATAATTCGCACCTGATTCTGTGTAGTAGGCATTATTCTAGAAGGTATTGTTGTGAACCCCTTAATATTATATTTTCATATAATATTATTAAAAGTATGGGAATAGTGTGTTGATCGACGATTCGTCGACAAGAATCCGCTGACTAGGGGATTCGGCGTCCGGCGGGGCCGTAGGCCGACACACACGAAGGAGGTTAGTCAGTACCTAGTATTTACACAGAGGACAGAGCATTAATACTAACGTATGTCTAGTAAGAGCCTTTATTATAACTTGTAAAATTAGTGATAAATTAACCAGTAATAAAATCTATATAATTAATATTTAATCGAGCGTTAGTTTATTTGTGATTGAAACCACGGTTTCATAACATTTTTGGTGGCAGCGGTGGGATACAGTATACACTACCACGTTCGATTAGTAAAATTGTATTAATAATATAGTGTGGTTAAGGCGTTAGCCAGTCTTTCCTAAGTGCAAGATATTCAGAGCCTCAATGAACATTCAGAACATCCAGAGAAAAAAAGAGAAAAAAGAAACAGAACATTTCAAACAAATAGTGGTACGTATCAAGTGCGTAATAATAATATTAATCCGTCCAGTATACGCGAGTATA